GGAAGTGAATATGTCCTGTAATGGAACTGAAGAGGGAGACAATGTGGGATAATATGCAAATGGTCGACTTAGAATGTAATTAGGTAAATTTGTAGTCAAGTCGTGTGTGAAATTTCATATACTGTAACTGGTGAGGAAATTCATATATTCGAAAACTGAATTACGTAAGTCAGCTGAGAGTAAGGATTAGCCGTTTCCGCTCCCGACGAGGGTTGGGGCTCACCTCGTCCACGATTTCAGGCAGGCCCAGCAAGGAACACATATTCCTCAATAACTCTATCTGCTGGCCGACCGGGTGCCGCACACCAGACGCTGGTTCATCAACAGCACCTAGATTATACATTCTGAGATGTCAGCAGTATCGACAAAATGAAGAGGACCGACTCGTATGAGCTCTCATCAATGCTTTCTCTCTGCCCATCACTTTCATCTTAGGCTTGGCTTGCTCATTGGCTTGTCGAAGCTGCGTCCGGGTCTGAATGCAATAACACTGAGTAATAACAAAAGAACAGCAACGATAACAACAACAGCTACAACCACAACAACCACAAAAACAACAACAACAACTACAACAACAACAACAACAACTACAACAACGACTACAACAACAACTACGACAACAACAACAACAACAACTACAACAACTACAACAACTACAACAACTACAACTACAACAACAGCAACAACAACAAGAACAATAACTACAAGAAGAAGAAGCCTACGTGTTTCAGTGAGTTTGCCAGCTCTTTCCGTTCGCTCTTCAACTCACCTAACCGTTGCCTGAGACCATCCCCATCCCCTTCTTGAAACCATAGCCACATTGCTTACTCCTGAGAGCCCATCTTGTCGTGAAGCCTCTGAATCTCGTTCTCCTGGTAACTAATCCTCCTATCTCGCTCAGCCAGCATAGTCTTCCTCCTCGCCGAGTCAATTGCATACCTAACTACGTCCGATTCACGATCAGAATCCACCCGAGGCGGCCACCTAGAGCGTTCCTGCTCATGTATTTCCTCCGCTCGAGCCTTCTCAGCAGCAGCCTCGGCCTTTTTCTTTTTCTGCTCGGCTTCAGCTCGACTTTGTTCCTTTTCCTTCATCTGATACTTCAGCATGTTCAGCTGCTCTGTACGCGCCTCAAGTTCAGCCTGATCAGCACAGTCGGGGAGGAGTACTCCCCCGATGACGATACCTCCACTTTGACGAGTCTAGCCGCCGCCTCATCCCTTCCGGTCACCGCCTCGTCTTGTGTCTTGCCTTGTTCTGCCAGTCGTCGTTGTAGCACCTGACTCACACCTTATACACTGTAAGGACTCCTCGATGTTTGCCTGGTTAGCAGTAGTGAGCACTGAGACTTCCTGTTTTAACTCATCAGCCTTGGTGAAGCTCATAGGCTTCGGCTTCACACCAGTAGCCGTCGCACATGCCTCATCCTCCATATCGATCTCCTGCGAAATGGACAATATCATACACTTGGAATTTCAGGACAGGTCCTCTGATCACCTCGAGGAGTGACTTGAACTCATCTGCGCATTCGGCGAGTATCCTTTCTACTATGGCGAAGTTGGAATTGGGATCATCTGAGACCGACTTGAATACTGCGGCTCGAAGTGAGACCCCTCATCAACAACTGTACGAAAGGGCAGCTTTGTGTGAACTTTGGCTTACGTTTATGCTGGCTCATCCGGCTGCTTGCCCGACGATTGCGGTTCCCTCCAGTTACCGAGATGCTTCGACGCTAAGTTGGGGAAGTTACGGTATGCGACTCTCCCGAATATCCGCTTACCGAGCTCGCTGGAATGAGGGCTTTGCTATTTTTCTCTACTAAGGCGATTCCCTGCATGAGCCTCGTTTTTGACTGAGCCACGAGATCAGCATATCTGCGGCTATGAATTCAACAACACGGAGTTGGCCATCAACTTCAACTACAGTCTGGATTGACGTTTGAGCTTCTGGAAAGCTGCTTGGACCTGCACATGCTTACTGATGAAGAGGAAATGCCCGGAGACAGCCCACTTACGTTATTGAGCTCACTGCGGCTAACAGCGACGAGCTCCTCATCTTGCGTACCCATACTTTCCACTAACGTTCTGAAGGAGAAACCATAGCTTTCATTCATTCATTTCATGTTACTCGGGAGCTGCCGCGGGGTTCACAGAAGCCGCATTGCCGTTATCTTTGAAATCACCAAGCATGCCCTGGAGCGAGATAACACCTGGTAGAAGATCAGTGCCAAGATAACTACCAAAATTGACTTCACCTCTAGTAAGACCACCAGCGTTGCCTCCGCCCTGGCCTCCCCCCAGCTGCTCGATTTGCGTCTCTAGATGCTTTATCTTCATATTCAGTATATCGTTCTTGTCACTGAGCTCCTCAACCCTGGTTCGGTATGCTGATATAAAGAGCGGCTACAGGGCAGTCTCATTGACGAAGTCCATTCATCACTATGCTCGAGAATGAGGATAACACGACATGCACGGTGAACTTACTGCGATTTTCCAAGAGAAGTGTCTTAACTTTCATTTCAAAGCGGCCCCTCTCAACACCAAAGAGGGCCTTCATCTCCTCCTCCTTCTGTCGTAGCTGTTGCCTTATCTCCTCCTCCATGTAGATGTCGCCCACAAAAATATTCACCTATAGCGGAATCGCCTCACACTTGGGTGCTCAGACCAATACGTACGTCAGTATCCGATTTGGAAACTTTGCTTATCAGATCCTCTACTTCTCGCGTGCTCTTCAATAATCTTTGCGCACTGGTGCTTGAACCTGAACATTCGCATTGTCACCAGCTCGAGTATTCAGCATTTACTCTCTCTAAAGCGCAAATGGTCCTCAACTTCAATAACGAGGCCTTTCAGCTTAGACCGCATCAGATGCATATCTCGCTGATACGACATCCGGAGGTGCCTACCGTAAATCGGCCAATTTCTGTCACCGTCACAACCAACATTGTAGATGCTCACCGAAAGCTAAGGGCCTGATTCGTTAGTCGCCATAGTGCATCTTCCAGCTTGCCCTGTAGTGTTTCGTGACTCCGTACACACGTGTCTAACTGAACCGATAGCAGTCTGGACTTAAACACTTCTGTTTCCAGGTTCGTGCCAGCAGGTGGAAGAGTGTCAAAGGCCCGGTCAATGATAACCTATAGAAGGAACCGTCGCGAAGATCTTGCGTACCATCCGGTTTACCTTGGAATAGTCTTCTAGTCTCCCCAGCATCGAAGCAAGGGCAGCCCTGATGCTCTTTACAACAGCTTGCTCTACCTCTGGGTTATCACCCAGGTTGTTCAGAGCAGTACTGTATACTGTGTACCTTAGTCAACTACACCTGCTGTCGGCGCTATGTAGAGATCGCCTCACTTGAGTAGTCGATTGAGCTCGTCCTTACAAAGCGCTGACAGATCTGTAAAGTGCTGCTTCAAGTCACCATGAAACATTCTGTCGGCAGGCAGGCCCGGGCCATAGCGGTCAAGCATCTGGAAACGACTCCATCCCCAGTTTTCCAGAGTTCGGGGAAGCACCCACCAGGTCCGTTTCAATCGTCTCTTTAGCAGCCACCTTCTCCTTAGTAGCCGTCCACATCCTCTCAGTGGGGTCCACCGGGCTGAGGAAGAACCTTTCCTCTTTGCTGACAAATTAAACCCTACGGTGCTAACGGTGGTGGCGGTAAAGGCATTCGGAACTTCTCATCAGTATAACGAATTTCGATGCCAGCACTGCGACTTGCCATTCTTGCTACCTACAAACCGAGGAGGCCACTGCCGTATTGAAAAGAAGAGGTTGGATTAGGGGGAAATATGCAAGAAAGTAGAAATTGGGCTTACCGTAGCAGAAATTATTACGAAAAATTACGAAATTTATGAGAAATTCATACGAAATTTCCTACTCACACGACCACTAGTGTCATTCATATCACAGATGAAACTTTCATTCCTCCCGAATAAGCGACTTTCAATAGCGCATACACCCGAGAGATCTCACTTGGCACTTGCCGTCATCTAGCTCTCTTATGCTCTTCTCTGTCGGGCCTTGTATCGAATACGCTGCGTGTTTCATAGCCATACTGAGAGCCACGACAATGATATGATACCATGGGCAGTCCCACGACGTACTTCCTCGCAGCAGTGCTGCTAGCGTACACTGCAGCCTCCACGTTGAACATTCTTGGGGTAGGAGGCCTAGGGGTGATAGTCACAGGCCGTGGCGGCCTTCGCTCTGCAGAGAGCCTTCGGGCTTGCTGTCGTTGAGTTATTCTTTTATCCGTACCCATTATCGAAATTCTTCATAACATAACGGAACTATCAATCAGGGTATGGCAGTTGCAACTAGGGCTTTTCTTTCTTTTGTCTTCTCTATCCTATTTTCAACACCAACAACAACAACAGCAGCAGCAGCAGCAACCCTCTCCTTTATCTTCACATGAGATCAGCGCACTTGACCACAGCCACACCGCATCGATAGCTCTATCCTATTGACAACTCAATACAGTGACGAAGATAACATCCACATCAGGCAAGGGGCACATGGAAGGTGAGTACTGATAACAACCAAAAGAAGCTAAGTGCAAGAGCTTCTACTATCATATCATATTTGCTTGCTGTGGCCCACGCCGACGCGAACACGTAAGGCCTGCCGGTTTTTCACCAGCCGTCGGCGCCACTTATCGGCGAACATTCTGATAGAAACAATGCTTGAGGACTTCCTCCCAGGTGGGCATGCGTGCTACGACTCACTCTAGAAGATCTTCCCCACAGCCACAGTCAACACAGATAAGCATTGAGAAAAACAAAATTATAGTTATGCCAATTAACGCGAGCTGAGAAAAACCATCAAGTCGTCGCGAACGTAGTTCACTGTCATCTCACCAGAACACCCGCCAGAGGGTAAGGGGAATCCTCGAGCGCTTTGTGATGGTGTAAGCGTGCTTCACAGGAGAGGACGGAACAATGTGAACGATACAGTAGTGCTGAATCAAAACTAGCAAATCGAACACATCGGAATGATACAGCATCAACGCGAGGAATTTACACTATAGGTGTTGATGATAATGAGGTTAATGTGAGAGAATTTCGTTGGACGTGTGCAAATTTCGAAATGTAATGAAGGAACCCCTGAGCCCAGCACATATATATTCCAACACTTTTCATACATTCTAGAAAGTACTGCAACATAAAGGGACGTAATTATACTAGGCTCCCATGACCCTAATATCAACTATGAAAACTTTGCCACATTTTATCACACCATCGTGAACTGTATATACACTGTTTCGAACGTTCTTATTATCATTAATAAATTATCGTCTATATTGTATTATAGATATCTTTAGATTTTTAATATACAACATGTTGATATGAACAAGACGTAAGCAAATGGGCTTACCATAAGCCATTCTATGGTCCTTATCAGGACTATGTGAATGATAACAAGACTCCACAGCAAGCGAACACTTCTCCTTAAGAGCTGCCATCTCCTCCTCATCACAACTACTCCCAACGTGAGACGATAAGTCTGGTGGTGCTCGAGGTTCTAAGAAGGAGGAGAAAGGAACAACGCGTAAGCCAGTGATAGTCGTCGTACCAGAAATTGACGAAGTTCCATGGCAAACACCAAAGATACCGCAATAGTCAGCGAGGCACACTGCATCTGACAACACCACGGAGTAGAAGCAAGGACCTTAATCCTGGGCAAACTTTCGGAAAATTGAAGTCAGCGTAAAAATACACTACATGTTATGAAAGCCTGAGGTCGGTGATTTCCCCCAGAACAGATATTAGAAAAAAATGGAGTTTTTCAATGTGAAGAAAATGTCATATTTCGCAACTTATACCACTCGAAAGATCTATGAATTCCCAATCTATTCAATTCTCATATTTACATTCTAAATCAATGTAGGACAATATGCATGTGGTCAACTGCATGTGTTGGTGACAATTTTGAAAATTCTTGTGAACACTTCCACCCAAATTTCTATGCAAACTTTCGTAAGTGAGGAAACTCCTGAGATCAGCTGAAGAAAGCTAACATATATTCCAACACCGTTGCGCATACGAGAGTAAGGATATTCACTTGGTGCATATGGTGAGTATACCCTATGAACAACTGCTACGAAAATTTCAAACAAATTCGACATTTTTCCAGACCCGACCACACGCGAATGAATTCACCTTCGTTTGCTATCTCCATATGCTTTGATTCCATATGTAAATCCAAGTAATGTTCGCTTTTGAAGGCTTTACCGCACACACTACACTGCCACGTTGCGGAACCTAACAGCAACCTAATATACGCCGTATAGACAGCAGCATACTTCTCTTAGGTCTATTCCAAACCTTAGCCTCTTCATGAGCACTCCAAATGTCATTGCCCGCAGAGAGAATGCATGTTGACAGTGCTGGTGGGAGACCCGGCAACACGTCCCGGTCGAGAACCTTTCGTACCGTCCGACCTAATAACACCACCACCACGAGTTGGAAAAGGAGTGGTATGAGAATTCATCACTATTTTTCTAATCACTTTCCTACTCACTTATTCCTCTATTGCACCGATGTTGGAAAGTATTCGAGTAGCCTCTACGGTGAGGCATAGAACATCAACAAAAAAGGCAACTGCAGCCTGATCTCAGATCCAGAAATGGAGTTTCACCCGTTTTCTCTGAAGTGCGGTAATACGCTGTGACAAATGCGATATTCGCGGTGATACACAGTAGTCGTGAAATATATTTTTCACTAGTGTTTTCCATATCACTAGGGTGAAACTCCAATTTATTGACAACACGAACACATCACGTGTTTTCCAAGACGACTATAATGCTTCCGAATAGACAACAGCAACTTCAACTGTAGTATCAACACTCACGTCGAAGGCGTTTTACCTGTAGACTGTGAGGGACGGCAAAGTAACGAGTATTTGGTAGTAAATTTTGCAGAAGTAAATACAGAAATTATCTAAAACTGTGCTACTTGTAACAAGAGCAACACAAATGGTATTTTACTTCCCCGTGGTGGTGACGACGATTTTCATCTCGGTACTTGCTCATTGTACAGCGCAGTTCTGTCGTCCCACTGGTGTATATCCGCATGCAACGCAAGTCGTAACATCACCATTGTTAATCAAGGAACCTAGGAAGAGGCAACAGCATACAGCAAAGTGAGATTCAGACTAACGAACAGCCAGAAACCTGACATATTCTGTATCTATGTCGGTCAACCTCAAGATACTCACATTTTCGGCATCGCCACTGATCAGCTCTATTTCCATGACCACCAGCAACCTTCGTAGAGTTACCACCCACTACTGGACTTCTCTTCACAGCCTTTCCAGAAGGCCCCCGATACGATGCTTTACTAAGCCCTCGTGATTTCCACCTAAATAGAAGGTGTAGTGTCGGACTATATGTACGCTTTCCTCAGCTGAGCCCAGGAATTTCTTCACTATTCATACAAGTGCGCAAAAATCAATAAAAATTTCCTCAGAATTTCCATATTGTCACCAAAACACATAGATAAACATATACATATTTTTCCAAACTGGGGAAATGAGCGAATAAATGCAAGCACAGAGAAAATCATAATTATGTACGTAGAACTTTTGTTCTTGTAAATACGAAGTGTACAATGGAGTTTCACCCGTAATGTGAAAAACATATTTCACGACTACTGCATAGTGAGAAAATCGGGTTTTTCACAGAGTTTTATGCCACTTCACGTTAAACGGGCGAAACTCCACTGATACAGAAAATTAAATTTTTCGAAGAAATTAATCTTGTTACAGAAATATTTTATAAAAATTTTCTTTTACTTCCTCCTCATAGAATAATTCACAATTAAAACTACACTGTAGATATATGTATGTATGAATATTATATAAAATCATTGGAAAAAAAACTAAGTTAGAAAAACACACGTAGAGTCGTAAATGGTATTACTCTTTGCAAGGGTGAACGTCCTCATATCGGTGCTTCAGACACACTTTAACGTGGCATTCAGGACACTGGTAAGAGTTAACTTCCGTCAAACGTTCTCGACAACCCTACGAACAGGGTATGTCCACCAACATGCAAGAGTGCTAGTACCTCTACAGGGCATTTCTGCAGTCGGGGCTTGCTGTAGTCTTCAGGCTTACACGCTGATGAGTTTGAATGCCGCTCGAAAGCAGTGTTTTCTGTCTCGCCAGGTAACTGAAAAAAACCAAGTCCAAGAAAACGTGTACAACATAAAATTCCTCGGAAGAATTACAACGATTACAGTGTGTGTTGATTTGATATGCAAATGTTAGGAATTAGCATTAGCTATTAGAATCGATTAGAAGTATATCGCATAAACAATGTAAGCATTGCTATCTACATAGGATTTTCATATTGTCACCACCAACACACACAGCTGACCATATGCGTATTTTCTCCCAATACTGAAACCTAGTCATGTCGCTCTCAAGTCGCGTAAGAACCCATGATGATCGTCACAATCCAACAATAGCAAAACTGAGAGTTTATGTCATACACTTCCACAGAAGGCGTCTCTCACCCTGCAAAAAATTTAAAAATTTATTCATCACAAGTAGTGAGGAAAATGTATTTTTTCATCGCAAGATAGATATACTTACCAAGTGCACTGAAGATCTGCATAGTGGACAGATGATAACTTGTTGTTTATTATACGAGGCTGAGTCAAGATAGGGACAGTTGTGTGCTTCATACGTCCTATGGTCAAGGCAGAACCTGAGATAATACCAAGTCCATACCACTCCTCGAGAAAATCGTATTACTCTTTATGACATCGATCGCATTCAAAGGGGAGGAAATCCTGTTGGTGACAGTACCGCTCCGCACAGTGAGCTCCGAGATCTGCAAAATCTGTCATGTTACAGTGAAGATACAAACTAACTACAAACGATTATTCACGGGTAAAAACACAACATATGTTGAATTCGAGTAACTATACCGATAAATTGTGATAGAAACGCTCAGGATAATGTAACACGACGATTTACACAGTGAGGGAAATCATCACTCATACCTCCTCTTGAGCTGAAAACGCACCTGATAAGATTGGAAAATATCCGAAAATTTTTGAAAATTCTCCTTAGTGTTTTTTTCAAACTTCTACCCGAATTCACATATATAAACTCCTATAATAAGCAATAGAACTTCCGAGCCGAGGATAGCGAACATATACCCCTATACCAAAATTTCAGATGTTTCCGCAAGCCAACATTCATGTCATTTACGCTGTATATATTCTCATCATTCCATGAGCCCATTCCTGTATCGTCGCGATGGAGCTTAATCTAGGTTTCTATATATTCGCTCTATCCTCTCTGTTGGGTATCGCGTATTACTTCCAACCTCAGCCTCCGAATGCCCATGATAATGATGATGATGCTTCTTCGTCGTAATAGGACTGCGTCCCTCTGATGACGACATGTCACTAGGAGGCGTATGGGTCTTCGGCGTTCCACCGATACTCGTATCTATTACTGTTGAACCTGTAAGCCGCGATGAAAACAAACAGCATTTCCCTTCCGCACCAACCTGGTGATGATTTCTTCTTGCCAGACCCCTTCAGCATCTTGCTAGACCAGCTTCTAAATGACTTCGGTATCGTCCGAGCTGAGCGGCATCCAATGTAGCAAGAACAGGTCGAGTTCGGCAACAGGCCACACTACCTCCGGACAGAGAATGGTCCTTGCTATGCTGATCGACTGCTTGTGTCTCCTCGAGTTGATGCGGAGGAGGGCCCAACGGTAATGACGAAATACCCTCATCTGGATCACATCCATATCATACAGCTCATGCTACTACTACTACTACTACTACTACTACTACTACTACTACTACTACTACTACTACTACTGCTACTGCTACTACTACTACTACTACTACTACTACTACTACTACTACTACTACTACTACTGCTACTGCTACTACTACTACTACTACTACTACTACTACTACTACTGCTACTGCTACTACTACTACTACTACTACTACTACTACTACTACTACTGCTACTACTACTACTACTACTACTACTACTACTACTGCTACTACTACTACTACTACTACTACTACTACTACTACTACTACTACTACTACTACTACTACTACTACTACTACTACTACTACTACTACTACTACTACTACTACTACCTAAGCTCATCGAGCCCGCTTTGTCTTGCAAAGCTTGCTTAAGCTCGAGATTCTGATCCAAGAGAATACGAAAGTCAGATGAAGTCAATTGTGACTGATGTAGAACCGACTCGTACCTAGGCAGTACATTATCATTCGAATCACGGCACCCCGAGTAAATTTCGATACACATAGTAATACTAAATTATTGCCATTCCTCTATACCTTCAACACGTCATCCTAGTAAATCACACTCGATAAAAAAGAAAGAACCCAACGCGTCGTGTAAGGCCTACCGAGACTCCATTGCCCTATACTCTTTCGTCAGCTGTTCAATCTTAGCATCCCTATGAGTAATCTAAACACAGATGATGATGATGATGATAACCAAATGAGTTTGCTAATACCTCAATCTCTAATGTAGAGTATTCAGTTTGCAGCTTGTTGTGAGCAGTCGCCAGCGCGCTGAACTTGGTAACGAGGGCATCATATCTGGATGAGCAAGCAAAGGAGTGGTATGAGATA